CGGGCGAGGGGGGCCCGGGGCGCCGTCCTGCCCGTCAGCCCGGCTCCGGCCCTGCCGCTGTTGGACAGGCGACAGCGGGGGGACAGGTCGTGCCGGGACCAACCGTCTGCCTGCAAAAACTCCCGCAACGCGGCCCCGTCTCCCTCCTCTCCCCCTCCAGCAGCTGCTCTCTCCGGAAGCGCGGATCTGGCTTTGTCTCAGCTGACAGAGCGGGATGTTGCTGGCTGTCCCTAAATCCCACTCCTCAGTTCCCTCCCGAAGCAAAGGCAGAAAGGGTTGTGCCTAGAGATGACACCGTGGGTGAAGGAATGGTACTGCCTCTTCTAAAAGGAACAAGTGCTTTCTCAGGAGGGCTTTTCTCAACCCTCGGAAATCAGCAGCCCTCGGGTCTCAGGGCTACCCTTCTATTCAAGTTCAAGCGTGGTGGCACTACTTGTTTTGTAGTTTTGCAGAGTTCTTGCCGAACCTGGACTCTTCCGCGGAGCTAGAGCATACCCAGAAACCTACGTAAAAGCAATGTCACGGAGATCCTGCTCTCGTCACCGGTCGGACTTGTGTGATCAGCTACAGCCGAGGATCATCCTACAGCCTGCAGGATGGGTTTGCCAGAGGCATGAGCTCTGGAATCACAGTGAGACACTTCAACCACTTTGCCACCATTTGCTTGTTGGTCTGGGATTCAGAGTCACATTATGTATAAAAAACTAAATGCACCTCTTTGATTTCTTTTCTCATAATAATCTTGATGAATTACAGTATCCTTGGCCTTTAAATAAAGAAAGGAGAACAAGGAATCAGCTGCAGCCTTCTAAGCATATGAGCATCCTTTCATAGTCTACTAATTTTGGGAGAGGAGGTAATTTCCTCTTTTTGATGACAATACATTATTAAAGCTGGTTTAATGATGATCTTGGTGGACCAGTTCAGCTATTGCCAGCACATGAACACAAAGCCTCCCATCCATCCTCATTCCCTGTCTGTTGCATGTAACTCCTTTCTTCCGTATTATTTCCATTCCTGTGACATCTTTGTCTTCTTCCATTAAAGTGTGTTTGGTTTAATACATGTAGTCTGACTGATTGTATTGGTCTGCTCTGCTGGGGCAGAATCTGTCTCAGGTATTCATTTGAAATGACAAGTGAGTTGGGTTGCTGACCCCACAGAAAAGCATATTCTTTTTGCTAACACAAAACATAAACATTTTGAAATAAAAAATAAAACATTATATCCACTTCAACCAGTCCTACAATTAGCCTCCATCAGTGACTAAAATTTAATGCTTGCAACGAAAGCAAACCCTACCTTCTATATCATCTACTTCTATAAAAACAGACATAAGAGATTCTTTTTCTTTCTGCACCATTTCCAAGAGTGGGGCTGTTGCACAAATTGCTTTTCTTGTGACATTTATTGCTGTGCTAAAGCCATGATAGCAGCATGATTGATATGGTCTATAAAATCCCCCAGCTGCTTTCAAAGTCCAGAACAGTGGTCCTGAATCAAATTGATTAGAAACGAGATTCCCCTCCAGGCCTGTCCAGTGTCTGCGGCATGGTAACTGACTTCATCGGTTCATCTGCTTCAACCCTGGGGGCCCATCTCAGATCCACTACTTTATCTTCTTTCTTTCTTCTCCTAAGCCTACCTCTTTGGCTTTTCTTCAGTTTTATCCTCAGCCCTATCTTCCTTTTTATAGTTCCTTTCTCCTGATCCTCCATCCGTTCCTCATTCCCTAGGCATAGATTAAACTTGGCGCATTTTCCAAGCCTTCACCAAGCCTGTAGCATGCATACCTCTCCTCTCCATCATTTCCTTTGCTGCAGCACCTTTTTCTCCCCATGTTTCAGGTATCCTTGTTTGAATGCATTTAGTGTAACTACCTGTATTGATTTGTTTTGCTTGGACAGAATCTGCCCCAGGTGTCCATTTAAAAATGACAAATGAGCTGGATTCCTGACAGTCTGAAGGAAAAATTTATTGCTTTTGCTACTGATGAGCACACATATGTGAAGTTAAAAGACAATGAGTGATATTGGCAGATTCATAGATGATCAATAGCAAATTTCTAGAAGCTATAAAATATTATGGACATGAATACAGTGTTTGTTACAGACACAATTCTGCAATGCATTTATGGTATCACATTTACACAGGCTACACAGCAGATACTGCTCCATTTCCCTATACAGTGACAACAGGAGAGGGGATGGATGATTATACATCTCATGAGACCCCAGAACTGCAGCTGCTACTTGTGCAATGCTCATACAGCATTTCATGCTGGAATATTAAGAGGCCTCAAAATATCCTCTGAAGAGAGAGCAATAGGGTGAAATAGAGAGAAATGTTAATGTAAAAATGGAGGTAAGATACTGGTGGCTGCAATAACATTAGTCTGGTTTCTTGCATCATATTTTGCAAGCTCACAGGAGCGAGGTCTTTCCCCTGTTACTGTGCATTCTTTGCAAAGTCCAGTAAGCAGAGGGCTTCTCCCTTTCATGCTAAGCTTCCACTGCCTTTTTCGCCATCTCTGTTGATGCCAGCAAAAAGGTATGATACCCTTTAGCTCAGTTCATCAATTCCATCAATATTCCAGATACTTTCTTCCCAGGACTTTTAATCAGCATTGACAAGGACCCTTCACTCACTAGGTTTCTGCTCCCAAAGACCTGTTTCATGTTCACCTCTTTACCTCATGACAAAATGTGGGAACTGGCAATGCAGGCAGAGCTCTCTAAAGGATTTGGGACCCTCTGGGCCAGCAGGAGCCAGGACATTCTACATAAAGTCTGTAGGCCATTTTTGTGTCCAACATTTCATTCCAAGTGAGAAAGCACTTTTTCTATTTGTTTCCAAATAAGAGTAGTGAAGCTGGCGAAAGTCTAGAGCATCAGTCTTATGAGGAGTAGCTGAGAGAACTGAGGTTGTTCAGCTTGGAGAAAAGGAGGCTGAGGGGAGACCTTACTGCTCTCTACAACTACCTGAAAGGAGGTTGTAGCAAGGTGGGTGTTAGTCTCTTCTCTCAAGTAAAAAGTGATAGGATAAGAGGAAACAGCCTCAAGTGGCACCAGAGGAGGTTTAGATTGGATATTAGGAAAAATTTCTACATAGAAGGGGTGGTCAAGCACAGAAGAGGTTGCTCAGGGAAGTGGTTAAGTCACCATTTCTGCAGGTATTTAAAAGACCCATAGATGTGGTGCTTAGAGACATGGTTTCATGGAGGACTTGGCAGTGCTAGGTTTATGGTTGTACATGATGATCTTAATAGTCTTTTACAACCTAAATGGTTCTATGATTTTATGATTATAGCAGCATACCTTGTTAATTGCCAAATTTAGGAAGATAGCAAGGTTTTCAAGCAAGAAGTCACAAACCACATCTGAAATCTACATTTTTGAAGAATGTTTAGATGAGATTCTCCTCAGAGATCACAGAATAACAGAATCAGCTAGGTTGGAAAGGACCTTGAAGATCATCTAGTCCAATAGTTAACCTAGCACTGACAGTTCCCAACTACAGCATGTCCTTAAGTGCTGTGTCAGCTCTACTCTTATCCAGGGATGGGAAAAGGATGCAGGTTTTTTTTCTTTTACACAGTAGCAAACCTCATTTTTAATAATCTTTAAAAGCATCTACTGCCCTATAGTTTTCTATCATCACTGACAAAAAAAAAAAAAAGCAAATTCTCAGCTATGGCATGAAAAACTCAGTTTGTCTCAGTTTTGGATAGTGGCTGGATATAGACACTGTCTTTTCTCTCCTGGAGTTTCACCGATGTCTTCGAAATACCTTAGGCAGCTACTTGTTGGTTTATGTTTTTATTCCTTTACCACAGCGCTAAAGCTAATAATGTGTCTTGGATTCAGTTTCTGAATCTCCTGTCTCATATGCATGACTCTGTGGCAATAACACTTTTCTGCTCCACATCTTCTCCTTGTGAGGTTTTGAAACTAATAAGAATTTAATTCTGAAACTGAACCAAAATACTTTCTAATCTATTTATTTCCCTTCCTGAGACATAAAGCTTTATACCTTGCATCTCGTGTCCAAAGAATCAAGAGCTGCTTTAATCACTTAAAAACCCTGAGGGACAGCCTTTATCACGTGGTTATAAGCCAGGACAAGTAGTAGACACAGGCAAAATAAGCATGTAATTAGGGCAGCAGATTGCTGGGACAGCAGAAAAACACAGCCCTTTGTCTATTTTGCTATGTTCGAGTTTTAGAAAGCCAAACTAGCTGCTGCAGCAGGAGAGGCTATGGGCCAGCCATGCTATGCTGCTGGAAGGAGAGGAACTCTCCAGGAATGCCAGTGACTGCTCCCATCCTTCTTGCTCCCTGCCCTCAAGCTGCAAGCCAAGCTTATGGAGCTTTACAGCAAACTCGTTCAATATTTTAGCCACGCCTGCAAACATACGTTATGTCCTGACATATATATTCCATTGTCATAAAAGTGACCACAGGAATCTGATATAGAAATACCATATTCTTGGAAGAAATTCACTGATGTACTCAAATAAATTCGCTATCTCCAGTGGATGGGGGTAAATTCTTCCTTGGGACTTAATGTTTTAAAAATTGCTGTCTAAAAAACTGCTCAACATGGAATATTTCTCTGAGGCTGACAACTCTAAGTGAATAATGTTTCTTAGTTCAGAAGTAAGTGTTGACAACTTTCTACTTCAGAAGAGATTCATCCCCTACATTTTCAAAGAAGTATGAAGAATTATCTG